GTTACATTCTTAGACAAGGCAATGATGGAGATACTTTCTAAAGATCACCATCTGTCAGTTGCCACCATTTCCGTTCTCTAAGTTGGGCCGCCTATTTGACCGCCATCAAATGGTGGAATGCTATACTTTTCAACTTTTGGTAAGGGAATTACCTTCTCGATGGCTGAATTATGAGAGGTTATCTCTTATCCGTTTAGGAACCAACAGAGCCTAATATGTTGTGCCCGGCTAAACGAGGTCAAAATGAAACTTTTCTCAGCTTCTCCTTCTCTTTAAACACTGCCCACCCGTTCATGGAAGTCGGGACAAGACAAAAATAAAGTATTTTCTGAAAAAGCACAGACATCTGAATGAAGCAATAATTTTCTACAGTGGAATTCATTAAAGATTTGTACATATTTTTCTAGACAGTGCAAATGGACTTAGCAAAAGGCTTCATAATTATTCATCCTTCTGACAACACAGACACTCGAAGTTCACGCATTAATTTCCTATGAAAATAAACGAGACAGAAAAGCTTCCTAGAAAATGTATTTAACTCCTACGCAATTTAAGCCTTCTACGCTAATCGGACAAGCCGGGTGGAACAACTGTCAGCCGTAAATTAATCTGTACTCAGTTGTTAATTAAGCCCAGATAACGATCCACTCTTAAAATCCCTGTGAGTCGGCCTGAGCCTCGGCTACCACGTTACTGATAAAAACACCGACTAAAGAGGAGGTGTTTATGAAAAAGATTGTTACAGTCCAAGAGTGGTCTTCTCTTTTGACGAAGAGAAAACATTAATTACAAATAATCCTCGTTCGTATAAACTGGAACGCACGCATCCCAAGAAATTTTACTTTGAAGAAGATTTTCTTTGGGACAGAAATCAACTTTCATGAGTTACTTTTCGAGTTGGGTGCCCCAACTCGTCTTCAGACTAATAGGAAAAGTGCAATGAGCAACTGGAATTTCAAAACTGCCGAAAAAATCAATAGCTATATAAAGTGAGACGTGATTGGTAGGTGTGTTCTCAGTTAGTCTCCCTCGTGCGGCCTCGGTCTTTTCTATCGTTCTTTGAGGTGCTTATAAATACCACCC